ATGATTAACAACAAGGCTTCTTATCTGCATGAAAAAGAACCTGTACATAATTCAGTGTTTAACAAAATTTACAGAAACAATGTAATTTTATCCATTAGGAAAACAAACTAAACTGTATATGTATTTTTCCCCTAAATTAAAATTCAGCCTAAACATTAGATTGCCACTGGATTATGTTTTGCTTTTCAGTCATTAATAATGCTTTACCTTATTAAATTCTCTCAAACAATTCTTAGGCATTTTGGTAAAAATGCAAAACATAACATTACAGCTGGAAGACTCTCCTGTAAACACACACACAGAGAGTAAAAAAAAAAAAAGTCTTTTAAAATACCGCAAAAAAAATAGGCAGGTACTAGTCAAACTGATTGTAGAGAGCTCCATCTTCTAATAAAACAGCTTTCCCCACTCAAAACACAGTACTTCAGAGCTGTTTCAGATCCAGCTTTGGTACTCGGAGCTTATGAGCCGTTCTGCTAGGTGCAAAGAGCAAAACGGGTGCGTTTAGGACATGGTCTTCTGCTCAGGAAACCCTCAAAAGACCAGTTAATCTGGATATTCAACCAGATCGTGCAGAGAAAGTTACAGTATGTAAACTAGTGGCCTGCCCCATCCACAAAAAGGTGTCAAGACAAACTGAGCCTGAGGAAGATTTGTAAGAGGTAGTGATACTAAAAACCATTAACCTTTGTACCACTGGTTCCTAACTCAAATTCGCCATTATGCTAGATGAATAGCGAGGAGTCAGAGAGCTCACAGCAGACAGCGAATCGTACATAAACATCTTACATTTATATAAACATTTTATATAAAGATCTACTCTGGCAAATACAGATTTATGCAAAAATGAACTTTAAAAAAAATCAGAAATCTTCAGAGTATGACTTGATCTACACTGGCACAAAGGTAACATTTTAGTCCAAATCTGAAGCAAGCCACTCTGCTCATAATTTCTTTGACATGTTTTAACAAAAAGAGGAAATCTGGTTCCCTGCTCTTTCAGCAGAGAAAGCAGTGGAATTTGGGCATCTCTTTAGTGAAAGCTGGTGAGACAGAGATAGAATCAGGTTGGGGAGTCCTCAGAGCGGCAGACAGTGTTTTAAAGCATTAGAAGTTCATTTTATTGCTGAATAGAAAATAAAGCTCTGCTTGCTTTGGAAGAGGATGAGGGACCATTAAGAGGCACTTCTTTCCTCCAGCGTGATGATTCGGAATACAAGCTATGGACTTCACTTCTGCCAGTCTATGCCACCATTCCGTTCTCGGGCATGGTGAAATTCACAAAAACTAGGTCACAAAACCCCACTAGGACTCACAAGACAAGATAGCTGCTTCATGTACTCCCTAAATTTAGCAGAGTTCACCCCCTCCAAGTGTCTAAAGGCGAGAGCTCTGCTACCCAGTGCTACCCATACTGAAAACTCCTGGCTGACAGAACAGGGAGAATACAGGGTGTGCTGGAGCTGATGCCTGGGTTAACTACTACAACAAGATGGAAATGGGTGATAAACACAACAGCTGTAAAATGTGAGCATGGTGCTCTCCTATAGGCTTTTAGCTGCCTTCAGAAAACATTGGTTTCAGGGGTCACCATGAATGCTCAAAACCTCCAATAATCTGCAGGTCTACACCAGGAGCGTTACTCCTGTTACATTTTGTAAACAATCACCAATAAAATTATTTTCTGAATATTTGGATTTCCAAACTTTCAGTTTATTTTGCCTTTGGAAACAGCAAGAGATGAAAAACAGCAAATGCAGGTATTCTTTGGACAGAATTTTCTTAGCTCTCTTTTGGCTGAGGTCTCCTTCTCATGTATATAACCACAGAGCACAGAAAATAAAATATACTTAAATAAGCATCACTACTTTAGTTCTAAGAAGAGTTACAAAATTTATTGCTTTTCTGTACAATGGTAACCTCTCAGAAGCATGTATAGTAATCCTGCTAAAACACGTCAAACAAGACATTCATTATGTGTTTCCGCGATTTTAAGCATCTATTTGGAAAGATTTCCATGCCACGGTCAAGGTCTAAAGACAAAGTACAAGAGGGCTGATCCCGTAATGCTGTGCACGTGTCTGTTCAAAGCAATCAATCAGTGGAACTAACAAACACTAGTACATACTAGCACGCAGTTAAGCACATGCGTAGCCCTTACAACTTCAAAAGGAGAACATTCACAACATTAAGTGCTTTGAATGGCTTGGGTTTTTTTTCGTTTGTTTAAGGGAAACCTGAAAGGCAATGAATTTAAAAAAAAAAAAAAAACCAAACCAAAAAAACCCAAAACCAACCCCAAAAAACAACGAACCCTCCCCCCAAACCAGATTCTCTACTGTTTTATAATATACTACAATTTCTTTCAAAGATTAAAAAAAATATATATATATTGAGGTTTCACCCCTACCTGCGCTGCATTTCTTACAGAGAAATCTAGGAAAGGCAGAAAGAATGCTGAGGAGGTTTTTTCCAAGAGGAGCAATGGCTGCACAATATTTAAATACAAAATAAATTCATATGCTAAGCACACATCTCTGCTCCCAAAAGGTATTCTTCAGTGGGCACATTGTGGATGCTAAGCAATCCTGCATTAGTAAGTGCCTACTCTGAAAACAACCACAATAAACTTCTCCTTGTATACTGCCTGACAAATTGCTTCAACAAAAAGCAGACACAGCAATGTCTTCCCTTCATTTGAGCAACCCAACCAATAATGATATGGTGGCTCATGGATACTCCTGAATTCTAAGCAGCTGGGCAATTTGAAGGAAGGATAAAAAATGGGAAATTAAAGTCTGAAGTGCCTTTGTTCATGCTACACATCAAAGTTACTAATTTTAACCAATTTCTCTATTTCTGTAATGTATTAAAATTACTGAGCAAACAACACAAAATGAAATAAGATTACTAGGACAATTTCATAGATTTTATCTACTTTGGCAATTCACAAGGTAGGGAATACGCTTTAAAAATCTCGTCTGAGATAATTAGTGTTTTCCCAGGCAAAATCGGTAGTAACCAGGGAATAACCTGTTAATAAGAGTGACCTGTATTCAAATTGTAATGGAGGAAGAAAATGTAGGGAAATACTAGTCTCTCTTGCCAGTTTGTAACCACAGTGCAGGTCTACATTTATTTTTCTACTCCAAAGAATGAACTCTTCCAAGTCATTACCCACAAATGTTTTACTAATCCATTTTTAAAAAACCCGAAAGAACTAAACTGTATCTATATCCTTGTCTATGTATAGTCCATAATAAGGTTTACAAATTTTCAACGTGTTCCTCTGTTGAATATTCTTACAATTAGAAAATTCTTCGCCTGAAGTGTAAACCAAAGAGCTTTTTTTCCACAATTATTGTATTGTGAGTACACAGAGAACGCTTGTTTCCTTCCTCTCTGCAGCACATTTTGAAATTAATCACATTTTTTTCTAGAATCTGTTATTCTGTAGACCCTAAAAATGCCAGTTATTTCAGTCTTTGATTATTTCAGTCCATGTTTCCTAGGTCTCCCGCTTTTCTTGCTGTTATTCAGACTCTTCAAAATGATAAAAACCTGGATAATATCCAAAACTGTACATAACTCCTGCAGAGGCATTATTTATTTCCATATTAATATAAAAAAAAAAATCATTATTCCTAGGCAACAGATCCCATAGAACAAAGATAATTTTTGCCAATGGAAAGGGAAGTTAAAGTGCTTGAATGTTCAAGCATTGGAACAGGCTGCCCAGGGAAGTGGTTGAGTCACCATCCCTGGAGGTGTTTAAAAGAGGTGTAGATGTGGTGCTTTGGGCCATGGTTTAGTGGTGGGCTTGGCAGTGTCAGGTTAACAACTGGACTCTATGATCTTAAAGCTCTTTTCCAACCTAAATGATTCTATGATTCTAAGTTCAATCTTAATACAACTGACTGCAAAAAGTAGCTTATATTCAACAGCTGAAAGCACTGAACTGCCATTTCAGTGAGGGCTCAGGATATTCTGCACTTCACGAAAATAACAGAAATATCGTCTAGCCCCAAGACAATCTAATCTTCCAAAGACCAGCCAAATAACAAATCACGATATATTCCAGAAAAAGGAAGGGGAAGGGATAACTACTCTTCATTTAAAGTAGCTATGTAAAAACACTAAGTCTGAAGAACAAGGAGTTCTGGTAGTTTTTTGATTCTGAACTAAATACAATTCTTTACCAGTGGCAAATCTTAATGAAGACTAACACTCCTATGTAGCTTATTAAAACAAAACACACACCCCACCCCACCCCCCAAAAAAACCCCAACACCCAACAACAAAAAAAAGAAACCACACAAACTCAAACACATCTATAGTCTGAGAACCTGCCTCGTGCAATAATAGACCACAAATGTCAGTTCAGAGTATTTAATAACTCACGCAATACTGCATCCTTAAAAACATTTAAGTCTTAATATGGTATAAATAAGGATAGAATTTTATAGTGTGGTGGAGAGGAAATTAAGGAAATGTCACTATTATCTGCATAAAAACATACTCTTAATTATTTGTCTCAAAAGGAATTTAAAACCAGGCAATTTATCTGAGGTAACTGAATTAAACTTGCAGAATTTTTTTGCTTCATTTTCAAGGCACTTTCATTTCTTTCAGCAAAGGCAACTTCGATGCCCCTTTTGTCGTCACTTAGTCTTTGTTTTTTTCCCAAGCACAAAAATCTAAAGCATGGCACCACCTCTTATGAACAGTTAGAAGAATATCTGCACTACAGGCATACAAAATATATCATTTATACATTATATACACTGAAGAGCTTGCACTAAATACACATACAAGTTGCACACGTGCCACACAATGTTTTGTGAACGAACCACCTCCTTTTAGCAGCCTTCTCTTATCAAAACTAAAGTAAAATATTGACCACAGATGCTGTTACTGAAAAAAAAGTCGAACTAAAAGATTATTGAAGAAAGTATTTTTGAGCCAATGTTAGAATGGTTATGTTCTAACTACTGCACGCATTAACGTGCAGATGCTACACACAAAGCAATACTATGGATGCTGTTCTGGAGAGATGCGAGAATGGCCCAGTAATCAAAATCCTGTAAAGATGTCAGTTTTACTGGACTTAATGAGTTTCCCTCACCAGACCCCTCATCATCGTCAGTCGCGGACTCCTGCATCTCCTCTGTGAAAGCCTGAGATTGGCGGGGGTTATTCTTGTTGTCTGAAACAGTCACTTGTGCTTGTGACCTCTCACCTGAGGTCTCTGTATGCTGAACTGGCGTCGAGGTAGTTAGGCCCTTATAAGAAATGTCACCTGTCTCATCTTCCTCATAGTCATTAAGGCAGTACACTTCATCCAGGTCCAGGTCCAGGGTCCTGAAGCCCTTAGTGACAACCCCGGGCCTCGGGTCCAGGATCCCACCCAGGTGAGGTTGAGCCAGCTGCTGCCAGTGGTGCAAAGTGGCAGAACCTTGAAAGGGAACAGAAAGACAATAAAAAAAAAAAAAAAAAATCAGTAATCAATCCAGGACCTCAAAGGCAGAAAATCCCATTTTGTTTATCCAGAAGACCAAAGGCTTGGGAGTTCCAAACCTTTTGTGTTTCTGGGTCTAGTATTTCTAGGCTTCAGTATTTCTAGGCAGACATGCTACAAGGCAAAACTGCTTCACCTACTCTTCAGCATTTCCACATCAATATGAAATAAACTGATCACATCAGCACTTCGATAGGCAAAGTCTGGTGGTAAGATGTGGCATACTTGTGCACATGCACATTTCCACCCCGTCAATATTTTCATCCCCCTAAATTAATGGCATTAAGCAGGAACAGAAA